CATGGCTGGTTTTAACATCTCTGCCAAAACAACAAAAGTGAAAAATAGCTACAATGGTAGTGTTTCATTTAAAAGGGGGGAACTATGAGAACTTGAGGAAGCTTATTAAAAATAAATGAGAAGGGCAAGCAAAAGGAAACAGAGGCTGCTGATAAGAATGAATTGCATTCTGAAACGTGGAGATTCTCTATTTATCCAACATTTTATTAGCGAAGGGTAATTTGAGTCATGTTTAGCAAAGTGAGTGTAGAGGTGTTGGGACAGAGAAAGCTGGGCACATGGCTCTTGGATTCTAATTCTCATTCTGCAGCAAATTGTTTGATTATTTGTTTTTCAATCAGATTTTTAAAAATATCCGTCCTGATGACAACATATTACCCATGTCTACAACATGATGCTGTGAAGTCATGCTTAAGTTAGCTGCCTGGGGTACCAGAAGTAAGAGTGCTAATATACCTGTCTTTTGGTTCTAATTTTAACAGCCTTATTCCTTCTAAAAATGGTGTTGCAGACACAGTTTTGTGGAATAAATACAAATAGGAAGTTTCATAGCAGCTCTTTTGGACTAGACAAATACAGAATAAAGTTCTGTATCTGCTTGTAGGTCAAAAAAAGGGCATTTCCTTCTATCAGAAGGACAAAAAAAAGGTGGAAAAGATGAAGTTATTAAAATAATAATGGGACTTTGGGACATGATCAAGTTTTAAGTGGGGATTTACTGCGATAATATCTTGATTTAAAGTTAATTATTGTACTTTCATTATTAATGGTTCACTGAGACATCTCTTTAATATTGGATTTTATTTTATTATTCTTCTTTGCAATACCTTTGACTCTGCAAGTATGCGAACTGAAAAACAGGCTGGGATTTTTGCAGGGTATAGGGCTAGGCTAAGTAGGTAACATTTGACAGAATCTGATCTTTAGGAAGAATTAGGTCAAATCCATTATTTTTCTCTTTCTTAATTGTTTGTTAAAAAATCATTAGGTTGGTCTTTTTAATGCTATTATGTTGACCCATGTTGAGCAGCAGTAAGCCTGGTAGGCTGTTTTGCAGTAGTGTAGTATCATAAATGTAATTTTGTTTACAGTGGTATGAGTATTGGCATATTTATGTAATTCCTTTTAATTACTTTTGCATATGGAGAAATCTAAGTTATATGTAATAGCTCTTTAAAGACTAAAAGTTTGCTTGCATATTAGGAAGAAAAGTAATGGCAGGATGGGAATAGGATCAGCAACTATTCACCCTCACTGTTAGAATACATTGTTTAATTCCAAAGCAGTTGCTTTTACAAAGAGTTAAAATTGCCGAAATGAGGAAATAATTGTGGAGTTGCTGGGAGAACAATAACTGAGGAAATCATACTGTAGTTGTGCTAATAAAAGGAAAAAAGGCATGAATATATACTAAGTGCTCTACTGAAGGCGGATTGTTTTATGCTACATTGTTACATCTCTGAACTTCCACTTTAACCATCAGGTATCTGCAGAGAATTTCTAGGCCTGCACACAGAACTGGTTGTATAATGGAGCAATCTTGGCATTTGAAATTAGTTGTCAGTGTCCATAAACTACCTCTTTTGTTTGCTAAGACAGCGATTCTTCAATTCCCAGGGGCAGATCTTCTTCTTCTAACTTCTGCCTAAGTTACTGTCTTTAATATGTCTGAGAATTGTAGCACAGCCAAGAACTCCACAAATGGAGTTAAGACACATGACCCTTTAGGATCATACACCAACTAGCAGCAAGGCCATGTTGGTTCCAGAACTATTCTCTCTTCAGTTTATTTTAGATTGTTAAAAATTTAAAGGAACTATTGCAGTGGAAGTAATGTAACTGTGCTAGTGTGCAGCGTGACCTGCACACACAAGCTTCCTTCTGAAGGAAGGAATGGATGAACCAGTATAGTGTAAAATCTCTCCTGCTTCTGATACTTGAGCTGGCCTGATTAAAGCTACCTGTGGCATCTCTGAAGTACATGCAAAGAATCTGTTGGAAAAGAAGCAGAAAGCAGAGGGGAAAGGGGTGGTCAGAAGTGTGGATAAACACACATAAATTTGAGTCTATGTTCAGTGACCAGGTGGTTGTAGCCTGGGATACTTCCACCCTCAGCTCCAGATGCAGCACACCCTGCTGCCTCCACAGAACTGCCTCCTCCACAGAAGCCTGTATCAGTCCTGTGTTTTCACAGTGCACACAGTTTAGACAACATGGGCTACAGAATCAGATCTGAAAAGAAACATGTACTTCCTATGAGCCCTGCTCAGTGAAATCTAGAATCACAGTGACTCATTCATACTTTGCAAACATTTGGACATTCTGAAACAATCAATGGCACATATCACAACATACTTTTAGTGAGTTGCAACACATGACCTTTCAGTAGTTTGGGATATTGACAATTTCAACTGGAATATCGTCTGATACAATCCCATAATTTCAGTAGCTTTCTCCTAATTTGTAACTTTTTGAAAGTTCATTTTTAAATGATAATTAATGTGTGAGTTGAGTTTACTGGGTCAAAATAAATGCAGAGGATGCTGTTTGAAGCACTGACTGAACACTTACAGAAGACAAATGGGAATCAAAGTTTTAAAAAATATCCACTCAGCAAATCTGTGCCCTGGAATAGAGCCCTGAATCATACATCCAGGGATATTCCTTGGGATTCACATTGACCCTCAGTTTTCCTCTTGGCTCTGTAGAAGTTATTCTCAGAAGTAGTCAGGGTTAGGGTTAGTGATACTGAATGTATCAGGTGGGATTTGGTATAAAAGGAAAAGGAATAGCAGTTCAAATAGGG